CCTGTGGACAGCCGAGGGTGGGGGGGGGTTGGTGGGGGGGTGGTCAGGCAACCTCACATATGGCCTAAGTTCACGGTGATGCCAACACTTGAGCCAGGTGCTGTGCTCCCTTATGATATGTGCTGCAAGACAGGCTACCGCGTTCCCACAGCAACACATGAGTGTGGGTATTGGGCAGAAGCATGGTCCACCCTCAGCTGGTGTCCTTCCCTGCCTGGCCCAGCAAGGACAGAGCAGAGGCAGCCCGGGTGACCAGGAGACTTGGGCGCCCCCATCCCCACCCCAGAAGCTCTTGCTGATTGGGAGGTGACCTGAGGAGGCCAGGCTACACGCAGCAGCAGAGAAAGTTCGAGAAACAGTTCTGAGGGTTGGGACAGTTTCTCTGGGGACCATCTCACAGGGAAGTGGGATTTAAGTGGCCTTTGAAGGGAAGCTTGGGAAGGACAGCATCACATGATGTGTTCTGGAGATTCCAGGTGGGCCACACTGGTGGGAGACAGGCCTGAGGCTGGCGGGATGCCCAGGCAGGGGTCTGGGAGCACAATTTGCCCTGTCCCTGCCCCTGACTGTGACAGTGATGTTGAGGGAGGGGAGCCCGGGAAAGTCCTGGAAGGGCCGTGTGGATGTGCTAGCCTCCACACGTGGCTCTGTCCTATGACCCTGTGGACCAGGGTGCAGCCAGCGAGGCCTGCCGTGGCCCACTCATGTGTCCACATGGCTCTCTCATGGTACTTTCCCAGCGTACACACCGCAGGAGATCGTGGGCGGCATCCCCGACTCAGAGCACCTGCTGCCAGAGCTGCTGAGGGAGGCAGGCTACGCCAGCAAGATCGTGGGCAAGTGGTGAGCACCCATTCCATGCATGTGGCATGTCCCGGCTGCTCACGCTTTTGTTGCAAGGTCATGACCTCGGGTTTCCCAGCAGGGAGGCTTCTTGGGTGGGAAGTGGCAACTCTGCATTCCGTGTGTTGTGGCTGTCCCACATCCCCTTGCCAGCCGGCAGGGTCCTGCGGCCCATCCTGTGGCTGCACCAGGATGAGACCTAGCAATGAGCTCAGCTGCCGCGTGACAGGCCTGGACCCTGCCGTCCCATGTTGCGTCTCAGCTGCATGCTCCCTACACTATACCCGGCCACCCAGTCACCTGCTCCCCAGCTGCCTCCTGTCCCAGCATCCCTGAAAGAGCCACACTGCACACACGGGGTCCCAGGCAGGAGACACCTCTCCAGCCAGCAGAGGCTTGTTCAGCAGTGACAGCTCTCAACCTGAGGGAGCGCCAGGAATGGACCCGCGTGTGGTTGAGGAACGGCCACATCCCGAGCTTCGTGCCGCAGCTGCCCGTGTTCATGCTTCACACGTGTGACACTCTCTTTTACTCCCGGGGACACCCACATGCAGCCTGGGAGGTGTGTGTAAGAGGCAGGCATCCAGTCCCCGCCTGTGAGCACAGCAAGCCCCCTCCTTCAGGATACCCCTCCAGGTTTTCCATCCCGTGACCTTTGCTGCCTACACTGGGATGGCTCCTCAGATATGGATGGTCATAGCAGCCAGAATCTGTGACACCAGAACAATCCTCAGAAGATCAGCCAGTCCGAAGGTGCCTGGGGCGTGCCTTGTCCCTCTCATAGCAGAGGAGGCCAGGTTAAGCCTACCATGCTGGTGAAGCAGGTGGAGCTGACAGGCAGAGTACCCACCCCAAGGGCCAGTGGATGGGTCCTTGTGTGGGGCCCAGCTGAGGACATACTCTGGGCCTGGCCAGATCCCACAGCTGCTTCTGGGTCCCCTCTTCCTTCCTCACAGGGCCCTGGGCGTCCTGCCCGCGACCCCAGCGCCATGGGGGTGGACACTCAGATGCCTGAGAAGAGGCTGCTTGTCGCTTGAGGCCAGGCAGGCACGGGTTGGACTCACATCCAGAGGGACGCCCGCCGTGCCACATCTGATTCCATAGCACCGGTGACTATGATCTCACCACATTTGTCCTGAGTAAAGGCCTTTGTGCCAATGGACATAGACACTCAAGAGTATTCCACAGCCGGGCTCGGTGGCTCAGCCTGTAATCCCGCGCCTTTGGGAGGCTGAGGTGAGTGGATTGCCTGAGCCCGTGGGTTCGAGACCCGCCTGGGCAGCGAGACCTCATCTCTACAATAAATCAAAAATCATCCCGGCGTGGTAGCACGCGCCTGTAATTCTGGCTACTCGGAAGGCTGAGGCGGAAGGATCGCTGGAGCCCAGCAGGTCGAGGCTGCGGTGGCCGGGAGCGGCCACTGCACTCCAGTCTGGGCGACCGAGTGAGACTCCAACTCAAAAAAAAAGAGTATTCCACATAGCTGGGTGGTGACCTGCCGGGGTCTTCAGAAGCCACAGGGCTTGTGGCGGCCAGGAGTACGCGGACACAGAGGAAGCAGGCACGGGTCACCGGGGGCGCTCGCCTGGGCGAGAGAAGAGAAGGAAGCACGACCGGAGGCTCGGAGCAAGAGGTTGGCCGTGTCCCAGGGAGGCTGCCTTGGAACCCATGGGCTTCGGCGACCCATGCCAGCTTCCTCCCTCATGCAGGGAAACTGAGATCCAAACAGATGCACTCCCCTGGGCCTAGCTGCTGGCTAGGCTCCGTCCTGCTGCTGCCCTCCAGCCCAGACCCTTCAGCCCCACCAGCGACCAAGTGAGCAAGCACATGGTGACCTGGGTCCCATGAGCAGGGTAGGGACCTCCCTGCCCTTCACCAGGGCCTGCCCCGTGTAGCTCAGAGGTAACCCTGGGGACGTTCCTTTCGAAGACGTGATTGTAGGCGGCCTTTCTTGGACCCACACGTGCTGTATGCTGACACAGAGACCCCTGACCAGAAGCACCTGATCCAGGCAGCAATGACTCAGGCCAGCACTGGAAGCTTCGCTTCCATCAGTGCCTTCTGCAGAGACTGTGGGAGCTGGATTTCTCCAGGCCAGGCCACCGAGGAGGGAGGACAGCAGTCCTCAGGGCAGGGCAGTGGGCACTTCCCCTGCACCCACAGGAAGATGCAAACCAGGTGCACCAGAGGGAAGGCAGTGTGCAGTACCCAGTCCTGCAGATGCCCCTCGCCTCAGAACAGATGGCCTGGGTATTGGGCGGGTGTGGGTGCCATGGTCTCTGTCATGGCCCCAATTCTGCCGTGTACCTGCCGCCTGCCGTCCTCATGGTTGTGCTTTCCTAAGTGGGGGAGGGGACCCATGATCCAGTGGTCAGAGACACAGTCGAGACCTGAGTTTCTGCCCTGGGTAACCCAGAGGGGACCTTAGGAGTTGGTGACACAGCCCGCAGTATTCTCCTGGGGATTAGAGAAGCAGAAGTTGCCAGAACATGTTGCGTCCGGGTAGATTCTAGATGGGCCACCTCCAGGCCCCAACTGGAAGCCCTCACCTGCGCCCCATGTCCTTGACCACAGTGTGGCACAGTGCTCTGCCTGGGAGCGAGGAGTGCAAGGGTTCCCTCGGTGAGGTCGTGGCCTTTGCACCTCAAAATGCCAGGCTTCACATGTGTTCAGTGCAGGAGGTGCTGCTTGTTGACTGACTGACTGTAATGGTGCTGCGGAGTGTTGCAGCGGCCACTGGAGTGACAAAGCCCCTGTTTCCAGGCATCTGGGCCACCGGCCCCAGTTCCACCCCCTGAGGCATGGGTTTGATGAATGGTTCGGATCCCCTAACTGTCACTTTGGACCATATGACAACAAGGCGAGGCCCAATATCCCTGTGTACAGGGACTGGGAGATGGTCGGCAGGTAAAGGCCTGGGCGTGCCCCGCCCCTGGGAAAACAGTGCTGGTGCTCCCGTTCCCATCCTGTCCTTGTCCCCTGCCCCCTTCCCTGCCGACAGCAGTACCTGGTGCTCCCATCCTGTTCACCCCCCTGCAGCCCCACTGCCACCGACAGCCATGCCTGGTGCTCCTGCCGCTGTATCTATGACTGCCAAAGGAGCAGGACAAGGGGTTCTCACTGCCTGAGCTGGGCTGAGCTGTCCTGTGCTCTGAGGGCGTCAGTTCAGCCACTTGTGTCTTAGAGTCTCACCAGAGGCTCAGAGACTCACACCTGTGTTGTTTCTGGCCTCTTTGGGGTCATAGATTGAGGGGGAAGGCCCTACCCGCAGGGTGGCGCTCATGGCTCTGCACGTGTCAGGGCTAGGGAATGCACCTGCCCAGGCCAGGCTGGTGTGTCAGCTGACCCTAGACATCCTGGACAGTCAGGCAAGGCAGAGGAGGTGGGGTGGAAATGCTTAACCAGAAGTGAGCCACGGTCCAGATGGAGCAGGTTGAACCAGAGGGGAGCTGTCTGGCTCAGCCCAAGCAGGTGCCTCCCCGCAGCAGAGCCTGGGGTGGGCCCTGGTCTGGTTTTTTTATAATTAATTAGTTAATGTATTTATTTTTAGAAGCAGGGTTTTGCTTTCTCATTTAGGCTGGTGTGTAGTGGCACAATCATAGCTCACTGCAGCCTCCAACGCTTGGTCTCAAGCAGTCCTCCCACCTCAGCCTCCCGAGTAGGTGGCTGCACCACCACACCTGGCTAGTTTTTTAATTTTTTGTTGAGATGAGGTTTCACTGGATTGCACAGGCTGGACTCGAGCTCCTAGGCTCAAGTGATCCTCCCACCTTGGCCTTCTAAAGCACTGGGATTACAGGTGCGTGCCACCATGCCCAGCCCTTGTCTTTCCTGAACTTAGTTTCGGAAGAAGCCATCATTACATATCAGTAGACCAAGAGGCTGCCTTAAGCCCATGCCGCTGTCACCACTGTTGGTTTTGAATGTTCTTGTCACCTCACAACCGTGTGGCTCCCCACCCAGTCCCAGCCACCACAGACCACCTGCTGGCTTGTCTGTCTCTCATGGCCTCTGTCCTGCCCTACCTCCCCTGTGGTGGGCTCCCACACCGGACCTTGCCCGCCTCTCCCTCAACAGTGCATGGGCCGTGGGAGCTGCACGTGCTTCTGGGTCACCCTGCTTCCCGAGCAAAACGTCCCCCACTTCTGGGTGAGGCCAAGGCTGCAGGTGGAGTCAGAGAGAGGCCTTTGCTGGCAGGTCCTGACGTCCGTGTGCCTCTGTGTTTTTTCTAGATACTACGAGGAGTTTCCGATTAATCGAGAGACAGGGGAAGCCAACCTCACCCAGATCTACTTGCAGGTCAGGGTGGTCTGCACCGGGAGGGCAGCTCCAGGGACAGGTGGGGTGCCCGGGATGGGGAGGACCTGTGATGATCTCTGCAGGAAGCCCTGGACTTCATCAAGAAGCAGCAGGCAAAGGCCCGCCCCTTCTTCCTCTACTGGGCCATTGATGCTACGCACGCACCTGTCTACGCCTCGAAGCCTTTCCTGGGGACCAGCCAGCGAGGGCAGTGAGTCCCCCGTCAGAGACACATAGATCAGTGTCAGGGCCAGCGAACTTGGTTATCTCCAGGGCTGGGATGCTCAGTGCCTGGTGTCTGATGGTTATGGAGGGGGGCCTGCCTGGGGCTGTCATTTCTGTGCCTGATAAGCCACATGAGGTTGAACCACACTCCTCCCTCCCGGCCGGGAAGGGCCAGGCATGATGGCTCCTACTCATGTGAGGTTGGGGCCACCCCCAGGTACGGGGATGCCATGCGGGAGATCGATGACAGTGTTGGGCGCCTGCTGGGGCTGCTGCGGGGCCTGGGCATCGCCGAGCGCACGTTTGTCTTCTTCACCTCCGACAACGGTGCTGCACTTGTCTCTGCACCCCAGCACGGTGAGTCTGTGCTCTCCCACCACCTTGTCCGTGGCCAAGCTATGGTGAGGATGTGCGAGTGGCTGGGATGGCGGGGTCCACAACCCCCGTGGGCAGAGCATGAAGGGGCTTCACAGGCAAGCAAGGCCAGGCCTGCTTGGCCATCAAGGCAGGCTCCCCACGGACGGTGGCTGACCTAGGCCTGCCTCCTGATGTGGTCTGTAGGGTGGCCTCACTCACCAGCCAGAGTTGGAGGCCCCGCGGACCAGGCTGAATCTCCACCACCCATCTTGCCTTCTGAGTGACAGGGCGTCCACGCAAACAGAAGAGGTGGGAGGGCCCCCGATCCCCAGCCTGGGTCCAGGTGGCCTAATAGCAACTCTCTCCCCCAGCTGGCAGCAACGGCCCCTTTCTGTGCGGGAAGCAGACCACGTTTGAAGGTGGTGTGCGGGAGCCTGCACTGGCATGGTGGCCCGGGCACATCCCCGCAGGCCAGGTGAGTCCGCGGTGTTGCGCAGGGCAGGGAGGCCAGGCCTGGGGGCTTCCTGGGGTCACAGCGCCCACTTGTGGCCATGTCTCCCACCCACCCTGCCTGGGAGCACCTGCCAACCTCTGCAACCTCGAAACCTGGGTCCTCTCAGGGCCCTCAGATGGCAGGAGCAGAATCCCTTGTGGGCGTCACATGGGACGTCGTCACGACTGTCCAGGGAGGCCTGAGGACATGGGACTTGGGGACGCCATGTGGGTCTGGGAGACACGTGGGCTCCTGCAGGTGCAGTAGCTCTGCTCCCTGGGAGCTGCACACACACCTGCCCACCCACCCCACATCCCATGGGTCCAGGGGCAACTGTACCCACAGTGCTCGGCCACCATGGAGGGCTGCCCTGGAAGCATTTGTCGGCCTCTGGGACCTTCCTGGTACATCGCTTCCAGAGGCGGGGCATGGGGCTCCTGGGGGCCTGCCTTCTGTCTCCTAGGGGCACAGGCCACCATAGGATGGGCGGGATACGGCCTGGCGTGGTGGTGACCCTGGGAGGGCCCCATTCAGATGCCTCAATGAGTCCACAGCCCAAGTGCAGGGGCGTTCTCCTTGCACCTGTCTCCACTACTGGTCAAAGCAGAAGACCTATGTACAAGAGGGCTCTACGGGGCGGGGGCATGGCTGGCACTGTGTGCCCGCTGCCACTTTTGGGTTCCACAGCTCCCTCAGTCCTGCTTAGCCGGAACTCGCCCCCCATACCGTCCAGTCAGACCAAGTGTCCTAAGCGAGCTGTCCCTGGGTCCATTTCAGGTGAGCCACCAGCTGGGCAGCCTCATGGATCTGTTCACCACCAGCCTGGCACTCGCAGGCCTGAAGCCACCCAGCAACTGGACCATCGACGGCCTGGACCTGCTCCCTGCCCTCCTGCAGGGAAAGCTGATGGACAGGTTGGTACCAAGTAGGCACGACCCCACCAAACACCCACTCTGAGTAACAGCGCCTGGAGCTGCTGACCTGCTCCAGCCCACCCCCACCAATCTCTGGCATCAGTCTGGACACAATAAGAGGGAGACAGGGGAGCTTGTGGCCAGAGGAGCCGCCTGTGGGGATGCCCTGGTGTCCTTGACCTGGCTCAGGAAAGCATCTTGAAGCCGGGAGGGACATCCCTGCTGGCAGCCAGCCCTTCCCCACCCCTGTGGCCCTCGCCCCCCGGTGGCTCCCATGATTCCTCAGGCTTCTGTCTCCCCTGCTTCTGGCAGGGAGGCTAGGACATCCTTCTGCCCAGGTCACAACCCCAGGGCTTGGGCCTGGCCTGCCCTCCACCGCCTTTGCCCAGATTCTTCACGTGGAAGTCTGTTTCTTTCCACCTGAGATCAGCTACTGTCTTGCTCAGATGAGCCAGGTTCTGGATGACTCTGAGGGATGTAAGTTCTGAAGCTGGACAGGAACCGAGAGATGGAGGCTCTGGTTTGGGGTGCTGGAGGGGCAACTCATGTCGTCCCTCGACATCTGGCCTGGGTGTTATTCCCTGCAGGCGGAGGCCATACTGGGCTCCAGCCCCCATTCCCATACCAGTGGCTGGTTGCGGCCTGTCTGAGGTGGGGCACCCTGTCTGCCCAGCCTCCCCGCGGCCTGGCCTCCTCGAGGGCCACAAATGAGGGCAGCAGAGCAGAGGCCGCCCCGGCAGCCCTATGGCCTCTACACCCAGCAACTCGATCTTAACTTGGTCATGTATATAAAGTGTCGACGGACTTCGCTCTGGCATGAGCAACTTGCGCCAGCACATCCAGCAGCCCCACACGTGAATTTGTGGTCCCCTGTCGTTATGTGACCCCTTCCTTCATCCTGACAGGCCTGTGTTCTATTACCGTGGTGACACACTGATGGCCGTCACCCTGGGCCAGCATAAGGCTCACTTCTGGACGTGGACCAACTCCTGGGAGGAGTTCAGGAAGGTGCGCAGCTGGAGGTGGGCGCGGGTTGGGGGACTGTCCAGAAGACCCTGCAGGCCGGCTTTCCATCTGACACGGCCCCTGAATGCCATCCCAAGGAGGCTGAGAGGTGAGGCAGGCGGGGCTCCATGGCCCCACAGCCTCCTCTGCTCCCCTGTCCTTCAGTGTGGACCAATGCAGGCAAGTGATGGGCTGGAGGCAGATGAGGGGCCTCTGTGTCCTGAGTGTCCACAGGACAGCAACCAGGATGGCCCACAGGAGCTTGGACACACCCAGGACATCCTGCCCTGCAGGCCTCCCAACCTGAGGACCTGGGCCCTTGGGACAGACACTGCCCAGTCCCTGCATGGGCCTTCCCCATCCTGCCACAACACCTGAGCATGTACCCCAGGCTGGAGGTGACCGGCCTGACCTTGGGTCAGGTGCCCCGCGGCTTCTGGCCGACATCACGTTGTACTGCCCCGTGTGCAGGACCAGAGTCCCCGACATCAACAGTGTCCCTGCCAGCTCCCTTCAGCTCTCCCTTGCTCCCTGCCATGCCCCTCCTGGGGAGGGCCCCAAGCACCAGGGGGGCACCCCATGATCCAGAACCTCCTACTAGATCCCCCAACATTGGAGGGACAACACCCAAGCCCTGTCAGCTACCCCCGAGAAAAGGAACACGTGGAAACCAGGGGCGCGCAAGGCTCGTAGCTGCGGGGGCCTTGAGAATGGGGCCCACCTGGCCTCCCCGTTCCCCTGCCCTGCCCGTGTCATCCTTCTTTCAGCCATCATGGAGCGATGTCACATACTGGGGATGCCCTGGGGGGAGACAGGGCTTCCGCTGGCCTCCCCTCCCACCAGCCTCACCTCCCTTCAGCTTTGTTGCAGGGCGTGGACTTCTGCCCCGGGCAGAATGTTTCAGGGGTCACGACACACACCCTGGAGGAGCATACGAAGCTGCCCCTGATTTTCCACCTTGGCCGAGACCCAGGAGAGAGGTTCCCGCTCAAGTGAGTTGCCCAGGCCTGGATCTGCCCATGTCGCGGTGGGCTCAGCCAGCTCACCATGCACTGTATGTGAATCCCTGTTTTCCTGCGGTGGGGGACAGGGGGAGGCCACGTGCTCACTTTGAGGCCAGGAAGGTGTGTTGGGAGCCTGGGCCCTGCCCCCGCTGTTCCCTGTGTGGTCCTTGGTCTGGGTCCCGCCTGAGTATGGGGACTGCCTCCTCCTCTCTGGAGGGCTCTCTCCTCCTGCCTGCCCCGATGGTCTTCCCACTTCTGCAACTTCTGGGCTTCAGGCCCCAGGGCCCCAGCAATGTGTTCCCTGTTCTGAGCACCTTGGGGGATGGCCCAGGCCAAGAGGGGAGGGATCCAGGAGAGAGGTGTGTCCAGTGGGCTGACCTGCCTGGGGTGGGGCGGGGCAGGAGGGCCAAGGACCAGGCCAAGGGGGGTGTCCCCTGGAGAGCGCAGGGCAGGCCTTGAAGCCCAGAACCCAGGCCTGGAGCAGCTTCTGTGATACCGAGCCCTCTGGGGCCTACGGCCTCTGAGCTGAGTGGGTCCTGAGCCCTGGAGCCCCTGTGCCTTAGTCCTGTCCAGCCCCCACAGGGCTCACCCGGGGTTTGGCAGCCACTCAGCGCAGTCCCCTGGGCACACCTTGGTCAGTGGCTTCCCCTCATCACAGGAAGATCAGGAGGTTGAGGGCATGTCAGAAAACCACCATCCTGTTTCCGCCGGCCGGGCCCAGCTCTCTTGACTCACAGTGGACGCTGGAGCTGCACAGTCTCCGCAGCTGTCAGGAAGCCCCTCCTGGCCTCTGCCCTTGCAGCAAGGCTGAGGATCACAGTCACCCACCAACAGCACAGTTCTGGTCTTTCTGTCAAACCCAAATTCCTCTGGCCGTGCCTCTGAGGAGTGAGAGACCCTCCCAGCAGCTGGAGCTCTCGCTCCCTCTGCTGTTTGAAGTGGCTTCCCACCTTCCCTGCTCACCCCACACAGGATGGGCCAGTACCCATCCCTGTACCTGGCCAGGGTTCACAGGGTACAGGACCTGGCATCCGACACTCCCGACCACTGAGTTCATCCTGGGAGCCCCCCAGGAAGCAGCTGCTGGGCTAAATCAGGTCTGAGGTAGGAACTCCTCGGCTGCCTCCACCCACGGACTGGGGCCAGTGGAAGAGCAGCAGAGACAGATGGCACTCTGGCCCCTGAGGCTCCTGAGTCCCCCAGTGCATCGTGAAGCCCCTTACTTGAGCTCCCACCATGCTTCAGGGACCCCAGACACTCCCTCCTTGTACCTCCCATTCCACTGGAGTGCCGTGCAGATCAGAGGCCAGAAGTACAGAGACACACATGAACGAAATGGCATTTCCCAGACCCGGATCCACCAGCACCTCATGCAGCATGTTGGAAAGAGGGTCTTTGCAGAAGTGACTACTGCGAGGACAGAGACAGCACATCCTGGATCTGATGACAGGCCCTGAACCAGAGGGAAGAGGAGGGAGACACGTAACTGGCAGCCACGTGGAGTGGGATAGGGGTTGGAGCCACACAGCCTCAAGCCAAGCACACCCAGGGCCTGAGCTGGAGAGGCAGGTAGGACCCTCCCAGGAGCCCTGGAGGTGTGAGGCCTGTGCACGCCTGGACCTTGAGCGCCTGGTCTCCAGGATGGGAGAGCATGAACCTGGTTACAGCCTGGTCCGTGGACACATATGCGGCAACCCCAGTACTCTGTGCAGAGTTGGAAGCTGTTCATGGCCCCTGAGGATGCTTAGACATCTCAGACCCAGGGGCCCAGAGCCCAAGCCTGGTGGTGCTGAAAGGGCCCACAGAAGCCATGGCAGAGCCCCGACCCCAGGAGCCCAGGGAGCCAACTGCAGGCCCCAGTTAGCTGATGAAGCCTCAGCCACACCTGTGCTCTCTGCATGGCAGGCTGCCGGGCCCCAGGAAGCACCAGAGAGTGATTTGCCTGTGCTGCCCACTCACAACACAGGATCTCCTCAGTGCCACCCACTAGAGCCCACAGGGTCTCCCTCAGCGCCTCCACTCCCCTTCTGGTCTCTGCTGGGTCCCCTAGCCAGGCCAGGCAAGGGACACGCTGTCCACCCACCACAACAACCACAGCCCTGCCTCGCAGACACTTCACAGCTGGAGAATGTGCCGTTGTCTTAGGGCAAAGCTGGACAGCAGGCACAGTGTCCCCAAGGGGTCCCAAGGTGAGAGCTGCCAGTGATGCCTCAAGAGCCACTGTTCCTGAGGCGCCATGCCCCCACCCTCGGCTTCTTCCCAAATGAGAACACATGTCACAGGGAGGGATGCTCTTCACAGGTTGAGGGTGACTGACCGGGCTGGGATACTTGTCGTTGGGGGGTGGGGAGAACGCTTGTCAGGAGGGTGGGGGACGCTCACTGTCTAGAAGGCTGGGGAATGAGTGTCAGCTAAGGGACACTCACTGTTGGGGGGTCTGGTGGGGACACCTGCTGTAAAGGGGGGGCACGAATGGGAGGACTGGGGGAAGGTCACCATCGGGAAGCCAGGGGACACTTGCCATCGCGAAGGCTGGGACACTCACCGTGGGGGTCGAGGGTGGACACCACAGCTGACTGGGTCCCATCCAGATCTGGCCAGGTGTCTGGTCACAGAGCCTGCAGAGCCACAAGTGCCCCTGAGATGAAAAGGGATCTAAGCTCAGGCAGCCAGAAGGAGGGGTGGTGGGAGCCTGGTGGGACAGCGGCCGGAGGAGCTTCTTGCCCGGAGCAGGGCCTGGTCCTCAGGCCGCCTCATCACACTTGGAGGTCAAGTGTGATGAGCTTCTTTCCAGGGACTGCTGGGCTTGGACTGGTACGGGCACCGTTAGGGAGGGGCCGGCCCCAGTAGGCCTACCTCGAGGATCCCAGAGGCCCTTCTGGTCTCCTGCAAGGTGTCGGTGTCCCCAGTAATGTGGGCAGGCGAGGGCACCGCCGTGGTGGCGAGGAGGGGATGGCCTTTCCCAGTCCTTGAACGCTGACTTCAACAGCCCTACCCAGACCTCAGCAGGAGCTTCTGCTCCAGGTCCCTGCAGAACCACAGGAGCCCTGGAGGCTGCCAGCTCTGGAGGCTAGACATGTGGCCCGGCTCATCCCTGGTGTGCAGCTCCAGTCAAGCGCTGAAGAAACACCCGGGAGGTACCTGTGGCCTGAGCTGGCCCACACACAGTTGCCTGGCCCCAGCGAGGCCAAGGACGGCATGGCGTCTGCTGGGAACACTGGTCCCTTCACCGGGAAGGGCCCAGTGTCCTGCAGATGGTGGGCAGGCAGGACGTGCCCCACATGGGCACACACCTGGTTGGCAGTGGCCCTCTGGTATCGCTGTCTAACTCAGAGCGGCAACACCTCCTGTGTCCCCCGGCGACATGTACTCCTGGGGCTCCTGTCCCTACAGCCTGGGTTCTGACAGACTCTGGCGTCAGTTCCACTCCTGGGTGTGAGGTGGCATCTGGTCTTTGTGTCTGCCAGATGGTGAGTGACACTGAGTAGCTTTTGCACACCTGTTGGTGACTTTAGGGAGGATTTCAAGTGGCACAAGGCTCCCTCCCTGGAGATGTCTGCAGGGTCAGCGCAGGGCCCATGGAATGCAGTCAGCACACACAGGCCTTGCGCATGTCATGGGGCCTCAAAGATGCTCCTCAATGAAAGTGAAAGGCGCCAATGTGCTGCGCTGCCCATTCTGACCGTATGTGCATTGGGGTTCGAGCTGTGGAGCTTCCCCGACATCCTCCCTCCTTGCCATTGACAACAGCATGTTCATAGCGAAGCAAGCATCGTCTGCTTTTACTCAGTACTGTGGAGGTCCCCACAAAGGCCCCAGCCCATGCCCCCAGGTCCTGGCCACAAACAGGTGACCCTGGCAGGGACAGGTCAGGGAACAACCAAGCCGACAGCCTCTGCCAGGGCTTGGCTTCCCTTACTTTCTCACTGAGGAGTCTGAGGCCAGAGCGTGACTCATGGTGCCACTGCCTGTCCCGGGGTCACATGGGAGCCTGTGGTCACAGTGACCATGCCGGAGTGATGGTGCTGGCCACAGTCCTTGGCTGTCTACCCAACTTGTGAATCCCTGGCAGCCTTTGTCTCCCTGGCTAGCCCCTCCCATTCTGGCATTGTGGCTCCCAGTGGCCTGGGCGCCTGTATCCCTGACCCATGCTCTCCACTCCCAGTTCTGACATCGTGGCTCCTGGTTGGTCTGGTCACCCACAGCCCTGTCCTGTGCTCTCCACTCCTAGCTTTGCCAGCACTGAATACCAGGAAGCCCTCGGCAGGATTGGTCCAGCCGTCCAGCAGCACCAGGAGACCCTGGTTCCCGGAGAGCCCCAGCTCAATGTGTGCGACCCAGCTGTCATGGTGAGTGGCTCCCAGTGGGCAGCCATCCCTGGGCTTGGGCTGCTGTTGCAAACCATGGTTGGGGAGGTGGGAGTGCACGTTCCTCAAGCTGCAGGGTCCTCAGGCCCCAGAGCACCACCCGTGGCTCCACACATGTCATCCAGGGTTATAGCCTGCTCTGGAGCCAGGTACTTGGGGAAGGGCCACTCAGAGGACACTGAACAGGGCTGTGGCAAGTCAGGTACTAGCCACACAAGCCTCTGTCCCTCCAGACCACGACTCTGCCCTCCTCTGTGGTCACTGCGGGACCAGGCATGGGTGGCCTGCGACTCACGCCATGTGACTTCTTGCTGATGTGGGGTCAACGGCGACTCCTGCACCCCCAGCCTTTGTGGCTGCCCAGGCAGGAGCTGAGTGAGTGTGGCCTGCCACACGTGGGCAGGAGCCCCAGACCTGGCGGGTAGGATTCCTATGTGCTTCCTTCCCGCTGGGCCAGGCCAGGCTCTGGGAGATCTCTCTGGGTCGGCTGCGTCTGCCCTACCCTGCATTGGACACCAGGCAGTGCCCCTTCAGCAGAGGAACAGCCAGGACCGAGGAAACGCAGGCCTGGTCCCAGCAGCTGCACTGGATCCTGTAGCTAAGCAGGGGCAGACCCCTGTGCCCAGCGGTCAGGACTATGGGCACAGCTTTCCTGGCTCAGGTCCCACAAGGTGGGCTAGAAGGCTGGGCCACTCTGGCATGGTGGCTGCAGGTGCCCATGTTCCTGCCCGGCTGATGTAAACCCAGCAGGACAGGCCTGGACGGGTCCGTGGATGTGGCCCTTGTGCTGTCACAGGAGGGCAGCTCACGCATCTGCACTGTTGCCCCCGGCCTGCTCACCCCACGCCAACCTGGGTCTACAGGGTCAGAGCACAAGGTGCCAAGAGAAGGCATTCTCTTAGGATGCAGACCATTAACCGGACTGTGTGGGAGTAAAGCCCGGGGAAGACCTGGGACCAGGGCAGGCCTGAGAGCTGCCCCAACCCGCACTGCTGCCAACTCTGAGACAGGCGGGTGCCTGGGAGGCTGCAAGTGTGGGGCTGGCCAGCGGGTGAACATGTGCCCAGGAGGACAGGCTGTTCTGCGTGGACGGGGGCAGGTGTGGGGGTGTCTTCCCAGCAGTGGGGAGCACAGAGGGCAGACAGCCTTGCCCAAGTTTGCAGGGATGGCCCGCCCTGCGAGGTCACTTGGACAGGGCAGGATGGCTCTGGTGGTTTGTGGGGTGGGTCCTACCTACCAGGTCCCACGGCGGTACGGGGACCCTGTCTCTGGACCCCTGAGTCTACCGGCCCAGGAAAGGTCCTGAGTTTCTGCCGTCCAAGCAGCCCTGTCCTTTGGCGGGAGCTGTTCCTGCATCCAGGTGGCGACTGTTCCATGGCACAGGCCACCATATAGCCCATGGAGACGCACCGGCAGAGGAGACACATGGTCTCCTGCTGCCACCTGCTGGGTATTTGGGAACTGCATGGCTTCAACCTGCCCCCTCCGGGGGGGAGAAATGGCTGCTCACTAAAAACATGGCAGGTGCCAAGCCCAGACCCCACCAAAGGCACAGCTCCTGGGAAACTGCGTGGACATCAGTGTGTGAACCTGGCACGTCTTCTGTTCCTTCTCTGCCCCAGTGCCCGTTCACTCTGCTCCCCTCACCTCAGGCCAGCCAGAGGGAGGGGCTCAGTGGTGTCTCCTCTGACCTGAGATAGGATTTGGTCCACAAAAGGTCTGTCACAGCCCCCCAGCAGCAACCCTGTCCCCTACCCGTTGGACACCGGAGCAGCCTGTGAGAAATGCAGACGTCTCAAGGCAGGTCAAGGCCTAGAGTGGCTTTCTCACCTGGGCCAGCTTTGCTAGGGAGCCAACCCCCCACACCGTGGCCAGGGCCCATGTGGAAACATGGGTAGGGATACTCACACCATGTGCCCAGATGCAGTCAGGGCGGGAGAACGCTATCGGTGCCCGATTCAGCAACACCCAGAACTCGAGGTCTATCCCCCGGAAGGTGGTAATGAGGCTCAGAGGTGGCTGGAGCAGGAACACAGCAAAGCCAGGCTGTGGGCGCTCTAGCCAAGAAAGCTTCTCTGGGGACATGTGTCTCCCTCAGTGGCACCAGAAAAAGCCACACAGAGCAAGTGTGTGCAGCCAAGGCCGGTGGCGGGCGATCACCCTGCAGCGCCAAAATGCCAGGGGCCCTGTCCCAGAGGGTCCTGTGTGGCCGGTGGCCGTGTAGGGGATTTCCCCATCTCCTCCTCTTGGAAACACTGCCTGGCGAGGTCCCCAGCCCCCACCAGGCCTCCAAGCCCAGGACCTCTGAGACCTCCCTGCCCCTCCCCCGGCCTCCTTGGAGTGGAGAGGGCACTGTCATCTCCCCACCCCGTTCCCAGGATCCCCCCACCCGCTGCTGGACGATAGTGGAGCCAAAGGTGGTCTCCACACGGGCAGGGCAAGGTCTGAAGCTGCCCGAGGCCAGAGACACCGGAGTAACGCACCTTCCCCATGTGCATTCCTAGAACTGGGCGCCCCCTGGTTGTGAAAAGTTGGGGAAGTGTCTGAAGCCCGCGTTGTCTGCCCCGGAGAAGTGTTCCTGGCCTCACTAGCACCGGCTGGACCCAGGCCAGGCTTGGAATGTGCTGCTGACCCTGCACGAGTTGGACAGAAGGAAGGCTCTGGTCTCAGCTTCCTGCCCACATGGACCCCCGCCCTGCCTGCCCGAGCCCTGGCCCTGGGTCTCTTCTAGCCTTCCTGGGCCACCTGGCCTGCGGTCTTAGGACCGTCCTGTCTTCCCAGCTGGCACTGTGGCCTTCAGACTGGCCTTATTTCCCGCGGCATTGAAGGCCACGGGCCAGTTCTGTGCAGCCCCTCCCTATCCTGTCTCCATGCCTTCCTGGGTTCCTTCGGGCCATCCTCTCTCCCCCTGCAGGGCAGGGCTGTGAGGAGGGGCTGGAGGTGGAACCGGGCAGAGGGCTCCTGACCTGGACCTGCATAGTCCTGGGGGATGGGCGCCTATGGTTGCGTCAGGAATGTGGGAATGTCAGGCCTCCAGCTTTTCAGCCTCTGATTGTGGTACGCTGGGCAGCCGCCACCCACCCGTGTGGCAGGGCACAGGTACGGGCCCCTGGCCCTGGAACAGGACCCTAGCAGCCACACAGGGCCTCGCCACCCGTCGAGTGTCCATCTGTGCAATGTCGTGCTAAAGCTGGGGTGCGAAGCTTGAGAAATTAGGAAGAAAATCTTGGAATAAAGGATCGCAATCACTTTAGCACTGTTGTCTTGATTTTTTAATAGATTGTTTTTTGGGTAAGCTGGGTCTCAGAGTGGTCTCCCCTTATCAGACCTGGGGCTGGAGACTCAGCTTCTTCCGCTGGCCAGTGGGATTCACGCCCCTTACCCCCACACTCCCCCTACACCCCTCCCAGGGCCGAGAGAGCCACCGCCTCCGTAGCAGAAGGCGTGTGTCGGCATCCCAGCACTTCCCTTCGCGCCTCTCCCCTCCCAGGGCTCCCTGGCCCGCTGTCCGCCGTCTCCTCTGACCTCCCCGCTGCGTTCTCCCGCGCAAGCCATGCCGGCTCCTGCTGCTGGGAACTCCTGGCCTCCCTCCCCCGCTCGCTCCTGGGGGCAGGGGCCTCCCCGCACAGGGTACAGGAACTCGGCGCCTGCGCGCCAGGAGCCCCCTCCAGCCACCAGGGCCCCGCCCAGATCGGCCGTGGGCCAAGGTCGCAGAGTAGAGCTGGACGCGGTCGCCCGCGGCCGGAGACGAGAAAGCGTCTAGACTCGCACCGTGCCCCTGCCAGCCTTCTGTTCATGCTGCAAGGGAAGAGAACGCGCCTTAAAAACGATGGCACGTGGGAGTCGATGGAATACGGTACGCTCATCCTGCCGGAGACGGCGGGGCCCTCGCCCAGGACCCCGCCCTCGTAGGCCTCTCGCCCCGCCCTCCGCGGATGCTCCGCCCCTCGCCCCGGCCCCGCGCCAGAGGACTTGACGCTCTACCCCTTGCTGCCCGCCCCTCCCACAGTGGCCCCTTCCCCCGGGCCCCGCCCCGCGCGCCCGCCCCGCGCATGCGCGCTTCTATCGCTGGGGCCCCTCGCACGCGGCCATGGCGG